CCAAATTTGTGAACAGAGTTCTTATATTAGGATCTATTCCCTAAACTAACATTCATGATTTTCCATTTATTTCCAAACTATCCATTTTAGGAAGGGAAAGGAAAAGAAGAAATACATCTGTGGGTGAAAAAGAATGGTGTGTGTTTAAGGGACAGCTTTGAATATAACTATGCTGCAATTTTCATCTTTGCCATCATTTTTCTGCTGAGAAAAATAAAATTGATAAATAATTGATGGCTCTCTTATTTACTCTGTTCGCCAAGAGGATGGTAAATGCCAGTGTCAAATATATTCTCAATGTTGCATTTGTATTCAGAAAAAAATTAGCAATTCCACATACTCTCTTTGCTGTATTCTTCCCAGTTTTAATTTCCCTGTAACCTAGTCAACCCACTTGAGTGTTAACAGACATGCTTTCCCCTGCAGCACTGACCACTAAATGCACTGGGGTTAGACTGTACTGACAGGAGATTTTATAACAAAGGGGGAAATGTTTCAGAACTAATATATTTCTTCTAGTTTTAGGATGGATACTACCCTTTTCTTTTTCCTGACATTTCCACATTATGCTGCACATTTTGATTGAGGACAGAGGCAAGCAGACAGTCTCAGAAAGAGCAGAATGAGAACTGCATAAATTTAGAGGACTGCAGTTTGTTATCATAGCAATTAAAGATGTCTTTTTGGTAACATCATCTTGGAATTAGCATGAATTGTTTGGCTGAGAGTCACTCAGCTCAGCCATTACATTTTAATCCTTTTAATTCAAATAGCTTTTTCATGAAACACAACAAAATCCCCATACAACATCCCCCAAAACAACAGTATTAGCAAAGCCTATACACTTAGCCCTGGTCTGCACTACAGAGTTACGTCAACGTGAGGCAGTTTACTTCAACCCAACTTGGTAAGTGTCTACACTAAAATGCAGCTCCCACTGCGGTAACTCGCCTGCAACACCAACTCAATAACTCCACCTCTGCGAGAGGCGTAGCACTTAGGTTGATGTAATTAGGTTGATGCAGTGTCACTGTAAACACTGCATTGCTTACATGAACTGTTGCTGCCTTTCAGAAGCCATCCCACAATGCCCCACGCTGAATCGGTGCAAGCACTCATGGTGAGGACGTGCACTGCTGACACAAGGAGCATAGTGTGGACATGCAAAAGCAGTTTAATTACTGTGGTGGCTGTATGCCAACGTATCTTAGGTCAACTTAATTTTGTAGTGTAGACTTGCCCTTAAGCTACTTTAACATTCCATTCACCCACTACTGGGGTTTAACAGTTTAAGTATGTGCAATCAGTGATTGCCAATGACTCTCCCTCCTTTTAAAAGGGACAAAAAGAAATGAAAACACAGGAATCGTCACAGCTAACTAACGCATGGTGGAAAGATCTGTACCACAGTCACTGGGCCACATGCTGCTCTCCTAAAGATAAAGCCACAGGATGGTAAAACAAATGTCCCAGTACAGAGGTAATGAGTGTGGCTTGCAAATGGAATGGATCCAGGTCAGTGAAGCAACCTCACCAATCCTCAACCTACACCCTCCTTCCCCAGCAAGCTGGGTTACTTGGAAGCCTTGGAAGATTTTCATTGCCTCCTTTCCCCTGTGTCCTAAACCCCTTATTATTACAAGTTGTGGGCAGGATAGCAGGTGCAGAGGAGAGTTACTGCTGGTTCTACAGCAGCCACTTCTCATTGCACATCCATCCAATCCCCAGGAAAGCATGCAGCAGAAAACAGGCACTTCCCAGCTCAGCCCACCTGGTATTTGTGATGATGAAGCACAAATTACTAAGAACTCAGCTTGACTCACAGATTCCAGATAGTGTTTACAGAACTGGCAATTAGTAGGGGTCTACTTAAATAGCAGAGAAATCACACATTTTTTGGTGGGTTGGTCATGGCATACATTTCGCAGATGTTTAACACATCTGCGAAATTTGCTATTTATGCGTGACCAACACACAAAAAATGTGTGATTTCTCTGAAGCATTTCACAAACTGGGGGCCCCAACCCAAAAGGGGGTCATAAGCCAACTGTAGGGGGGTCCCGGTATTGTCACCCTTACTTCTATTCAGCTGCTGTTGGCAGTGATGCCTGAAGCTAAGCGGCTGGAGAACAGCAGCTGATGGCCAGGCACCAAGCTCTGAAAACAGCACTGCCGCAAGCAGCAGTCAAAAGTAAAGGTGGCAATACCATACCCTGCCACCCTTACTTCTGTGCTGCTGCAGGCAGAGGAACTGCCTTCAGAGCTCGACACCTGGCCAGCAGCTGCTTCTCTCCCCTCTGCCTTCCGAGCTGGTCAGCTAGAGACCAGATTTCACAGTCCATGATCGCGATTTTCACATCTGCAAATCTGGAAGTCCCCTAGCAATTAGACTCAAAACAAAATATTTTTATTGTGAACTGAGTACATTTTATATGGAATCACAGAGACATAATGAACATGAAACCTCACAATGCCAATTTTGCATCATTATTTTGCAAAGAAGAATCACTCTTTAAACTTAGATAGAGTACTAAAGGAAGAAATCTTCCAAGGCCTCTGTTTTAGGCTCCTTTGCCCAGAGTCCCATGGACCTCAATGGAGCACCACATTGCAGATCCCTTTGCCCAGCTGAGAACGTAGAAGGACTACAATATTGCAAACTGATATTTAGGGTGACTAGTTAAGGCGGATGCAGGGATAAATATAAAATAATCTATAGCCCTCTCTATCAGCTAGTTATCAGCTTCTGCTACAGCCATCATGGGATGTGCCATTGCTACAATTATTTCTGCAACCACGCCTTCAGTTATTGACAAGAACAACTTGGCAGTTGGGAGTCTCAGGTACCTCCCATATGCAAAAAAGAGCACAGCTTTATTCTCCTAACAATACAAACAGATTACCTATGAAGTTAGGACCAGGTCAGTCTGTTTATCAGAAGGGACTAGAGACACATTTCCCCCCACCTACTATACACATACAGATTTACACGTCCTGTGGCCAGGTGTGTACCAATGGAGACCAGATTTGCCTTGCACACATGTTTTTAGAATTCTTGCTCATATAGGCAAAAGGTATGTCTACACCTCCTTTGTTACCCTCCTTCCCCTACAGGAACTAGAAGGCTTCCAAAGTCCCTGGGCCACAAACAGAGGCCAGAGCAATGTCCCTCTGACTGCTGTCGACTCTGCAGGGAGTTCCTCTGAGGATGTCTTGGTTCACTGGAGCCACTAGCTGGATTAAATTAGCTTGGAATTTTGGTGCAGGATATTAGGTCCAGCTCCATACTTGGGGAACTTCTATTGCCTGTTATGGCTCATTGCACTTTAATAAACGTCTTACACTCCTTTAGGAGGGAGGTATCTAAGAGGACTTTTTCTGTAACATAATAATGTTTTCTACCATTTTCCTGTTATGTATATGGTAGATCTAAGTTACTCATATGGTGCCCATCATAGCAGTATCTGAGCACTTCACAGTCTTTAATAAATTTACCCTCACAGCTTTCTCTGAGATAGAGAAGTGCTATCATCACTATTTTATAGCTGGGAATTGAGGCACAGAATGGCTCACTGACTTGCCCTAGATCACACAGGAAGCTTGTGACAGAGCAAGGAACTAAACTCGGGTCTTCCAAGTGCTAAGCTCGTACTCTGATCACTAGACCATCCTGTGTGTGTGTTTCATAGAAGAGAAATCTTCATTAGCTGTCAGAAGAATAGGTCCGAGGATACACAATTGAACTATTCTGATTTAATCCAATAGGAGGCAAGCTCACACATGCACACTAACCAATTCATCACAAGGGGATGATTTGGGGTTGGGAACAATTTTAGCCAATAGTAATACCAATGTGGCCACTGGAAACTTAGCTTTTTTAGTTATAAAAATGATTTAAAAATATGTCCAGAATCTGGAATTATACGGATGCTTCTCTGATATCATAGGACGTTATCATTAAAAGGTGATCAGGAACAGAAGGGGAAAAAAAACTGTCAAGGAGAATCTTCCTCCCACTTGCTGCTTGTTTATTCAGAAAAAATTAAGGATTAGGAAAAAAGTAAAAGTCCATAAATTACACATTAATTGAAAAAAAAAAAGGCTCTATGACATCAGGAAAAATATCCAGTCCCTAGATTGCATTTCTCCCCAGAGCGTTATAAAATCCACTGAGTTTACATGACATAGTGGTTCCTCTACGAAGCTGCAATAGAACGTACATGGTAATGGCATATTTGTTTAATAGTGAATCACAGAGTAAACAGGCTGATAAAACCAAGCATTGTAGTTAACTTATTAGGCTGCCCAAGAACTGTTGTAAAGCAGTGAAGTCTGATCCTGACAGATGTTGAGCATCCTAAACTTCCATTAGCTCTAATGGAAATTTCACCTCAGTCAGCACTGCAGGATCAAGCTCAAAGCCTGGAACGCTGTTTTTTTTCTTGGTCACCAGCTTCAGAACGTCACAACTCCTCAGGCTCATGGGATGTCACAATTAGACAGCTGCTTAAACATATGATTAGACTGAAACATTTGGGATCTGATTCTGTAATCCTTGCTTTCATAGGTAGGCCCTCCAACTTCAATGGGACTACTCATGTGAGTAAGTAATATTCAGGTGAGTAAGAGCTGCAAGACTGGGCCCCGGTACCAGTCCAATGATTATGAGCCTGATTCATGCCAAGTAATACTCAGGAGTAGTCAAACTAAAATCAATGTAATATTATAAGGAAGGTATTGCACAAAGAAGGGCTGGCCCTGGATATGGGGGTGGTGTTGGAAGTTCCGCTGGTGTACACCCACTGACTGCCCCTAGCAATTGGAAGTCCTGAATTATAGCAAGAATGAACTCCCACACTTTCTCCTTGTATAAAAATAAAAATAAAAAAAGGATGACATCTGAGCCAAATCAAGCATCATTTCTCTATTAAAGGCATTCTTAATTCTCTATTTACAGTAAAACTAATCAGAGTATAAATATACTAAATGAAAATATTTACCTGTTGTGAATAGGTCCTCTGAACTTTGGGTCAAATTTCCTTGGTTCACCTGCATTTAAAATAAGATATTATAAAAAACAGATCCTGGTAAAAATATGAACTATGTTCTTTTAACAGCAGTCCTTCAGGAACATCTTTCCAAGATGCCCAGTGTAACCCATTCTAGTAAATTAATTCTTAGGAGCAATACCAGTATCTCATTGCTTACTTTGACCTGCTCTGTGATTGCAGCAGAGGTCAGAGCTTTGGGGTATCTATCTATCTTAGGTACTTATATAGCCACCATTACTTTAGTACTAAACAATCTTTAACGTATTCATCCTCACAACACTCTTGTGAGGTAAGGAAGCGCTGTTACGTCATTTTACAGATAGGAATGTGGCAGAGAGTCTGATCTGCCCAAGGTCACACAGGGAGACTGTGGCAGAACAGAGAATTGAACGTTGAACCCGTGTCTCCTGAATAAGAAGTGAATGCCCTAACCACTGGATCACCCTTCAAGAAAGCTAATGATCTGGAGCCATGTCTGCAGCTCCCATGCAGCTACAGAATCTATATGGAGGCTAACAGAATTATGCTCACCCCAGGGTTTTACACCATGCTGCTTGGGATCAATGGCTTTTACAGGAGCCAATGCCACATCACAGCAGTATGGAGGGGTAATATACGGTCATTAGCCTACAAGGGGATTAACGTTAGCTCAGTTTGCCCTTCCTTTGCACAGGTGCTCATAGGAGATAATGAGGCAATCCTGGAGACTGCGGGCCAGTCAAGTTGCCCAGCAGGCTGGGAAGGAAACCTCTATGGGTCTGATTTACTGCTGCCCTTCATCTTCTGTAGTCATTTATACCAGTGCAAAGTGAATGGAACATTCCATCCTGCTACTTGAAATAGGTAGCAATTGCACTGCATGATTTCACTGGGTGTCAAGCAATGGTGAATCAGGCCTGGATGCTTGAAACACAGAAGGAGAGGACATTCTGTAGCATGGGTGCTGGAACTAGGAGTGCTGCCACCTCTCCTGGCCTGAAGTGGTTTCCATCATATACAGGGTTTACAATTTGGTTCAATGGATCTCAGCACCCCTAGTATACAAATTGTTCCAGCACCCCTATTCTGGAGTAAGAAAGATGCCAAACCTCATACAGGAGTGAAGTGATGACACAGGCTGGAGTTTCTGTTATTATATTGCAGCATCAGATGAATTGTTTTGTTTGCTTGTTAAAACTGTTTCTTGCTGAATGCCCTGCTGAAAGCCTCAAAGAAGAACACAGGCAACTTTTGTTGGTTTTTAAGGTTTTTGCTAATCCACCTGGCAAACCATCCTGCCACTTACACTCTTTTATTCTGCCAGGCCCTGCAGGCCTTGTTGTGACAACAAAATCCACCACAGACATCATTGGGAGCAGTACATGAGAAAGGAGCGCAGGACTGGGCTGTATGGTCAACAGCAAGCCTCACCCCAGAGAATGGCAAGCCTGTAGAAGAGCTATTTTTGATAACAAAAGTTTAACTGTATCAGGGCTGATATATGGGCTTGAGAATGACAGTAACAAAAATAAACATCAGCTATGATATAAATGATACCAGTACCTATAACCAGATATTCCTTGCTACAACTTCACTGTTATCAGGCGTTTGTTAACAAATTAATCAGAGATGTCTTATGAGCATAAGTTATAAAATACACCTGGCCAAAATAAGGAAAGTAGCGTGATTTTTTTTAAAGAAGTTATCCATGGCTATTTCTGCAGTTATTTTAAACAGAGCACTCTTCCCAATGTGTTTCTTCTAGAGTCATACTTCATAACAGAGAAAATGTTCAATGCTGTTTCAATTCCTTTTGGGCTTGTAGCTTTATTCCTATAACTACTCACTGAGAATATAATTGCAAGTGTTCGTTTGAAATAAAATGGTTTCTTTGCAACTCCTTCCCCACCCCATGCTCAGTTAAAAAAAAAAACACAAAAAACCCAAAACCATTTGATACCTGGTATTTTGCAGATTAATTCAGGTTTCAAATTAAGCAGAAAATTTGCTTTTGCTGAAGTTGTGGTTTTGTTCATTAAACTCATAATAAGCCCCTGAGGGTTTGGAAGAAGCAGTGTGAAACCAAAAATGAACATTCTTCAAGGAAAAAAAAGAGCCAAGAAAAACCTTAATTTAAAATCTCTCACTGAAAAATATAGCATCTTTCTCATGACCTCCAAAACTTTCTCTTTTCTACTGGTTCACTCCTATTTTATCAAGGCTCATTCTGAGTGTTATAGTAAATGTACCAATTTTTCTAGACCTCTTTCCTCCTCCCCCCGCCCCCTAAAAGACCTATAGAATTTCATAGGAATGAAATCAGCAAAGTTCTATAGATACTAAATAGGCTTCTACAAAATTCATTCTAAAACCCACAGAATTTAATAGACAGTATGATATTTTTCACGGAATTTGAAAACCAATCTCCAAATTCTAATAGAAAATCATACCCCTGCCATAGAATTCTATAGGGCAACTGAAACATTACCTAGAAAGGATCTCATTGTCTATTAAGGTCAGTAGAAAATTCCCACAAAAGCAGTTCTGCTAGCTTTACTGGTCTGTCTTTGCTTTTCCTCCCTCTAACAGCACCTGTCTTGAGTGGCTGAGGCTCAGCCTCTCCAAGACATAATGGGACTCCCAAAATCCACAAGCAGCCTAGTCTTGTGCTATCTGAAAGATTACCTACTTCTCTCTAAAATGTTAAAATATATTTTAAAATACATTACTACTCATTTTTTTCATGCAGAAGGAAGAAAAATACAGCTTTTGTACACAATACTATCTATATATATGTATTACTACAGCACAAATTCCCATATCTATCTAATGCATTACAAATAGATTATATACATGTGCCAAACATGTTTGCTTCATACAAATGAAAAAAAAAATATATAAAAATACAATGTACATAAGATTCATGACTGTCTTCTCAAAATTCCTTTCCCAAATAGACTACACATTTAAACTTTTAATTGTACTTTCCTCTCTCTCTCCCCGCTGGAATACCTGATATAAGCAGTTTGTATCTTCAGAACAGCTCACCTAATCCCTTCTCCAAAACAGCACCATAAGATAAGGCATTTATCTGTTTTCCAATGTTTTAATTTAACAGCTTAAAAAGTTACCAGTGCTATTTTAACCCAGCATTATATTTCATCCAGAGTTAATTTTAACTGCTATGTTCTTTAACAAAACTTTGAAGATTTGTAATAATTCCATTGGCTGACTTCCCATTTCTGATGTAAACTAGCCATGTGAAACATTAGTAACAACTTCAATTAGTGTCATTGTCAAATCTACCTGACAACTTCAACTCTCAAGGCCCAGATCCACAGAGGTAAAGCATCATCCTAAACCCCAAATTTAGGCACCTAAATCCCAGTTTTAAGTAACCCTGAGTTCAACAAACCCCCCACCTTAGCTACTGCCTAATTCTGTAAACACCTAAACTGACAGCACAAAAATTTGCAGGGTAAGAGTTCTTAAGGCGCCTACCTTTCTGCCTCCGGGCACATGAGCGCTGCTACTTCACTCTGACATCCAGACACCTAAGCCCCAGCACAATCCAACAACCTGGGAAGTTAGGTGTTCACCTGCCTATTTTCTCTGCAGGGCCTTATCTGGTAAGTGTCCTCGGCGCACACCTACCAGATCAGACCCTATTCGAAAGCCTGGAAGTGGAGGAAGAGGTGGTGGTCATCTTATAAGTAGGGCTGTCGAGCAATTAAAAAAGTTAATCACAATTAACCATGGTTTTAATCACCTGGTTAAACAATAATAGAATACCATTTACTTAAATATTCTTGGACATTTTCTATATTTTCAAATATAGACTTGGGGTTCCAGCTTCCACTCGGAGCTCTGGGCTTTGTGGATCCCATTGTTATTCCAATGATTTCCTAGGGGTCTAAAAGGCGTTTCATTAGTCAGGCTAAGTCCCTTATGGATCCAGACCCAAATTCCTTAGGCCTTAATTCTGCAAGCCCTAACGTATGCAAGGAACTTTGTACGTGAGTAGTCCCATTAGGTTCTTGTGCCTAAAGCTATAAAAATGCTTAACTGTATGCAGCATCAGGGCCTTAGTCTGCATTCCAAACTATAATCCTGGTAAAAAGATTATGGGCTAAATCTGTCCCCAATAAAATTCCATTCACTTACCTGGACTAAAATAAAGGATGAATTTAGCCTGGTAGATTTTGCTGTTTCCTTACAATGATGACAGCTAGAAAATTATGTTTTCTCTCTGTATGGCACAGCTGATTATGAGAGAAGTGTGAGACAATGTAGTGTAAGGCCTGGTCTATGCTACAAAGTTAGGTCAACATGAGCCGAGTTAGGTAGAATTAATAATGTATGTGTCTACATTACTGAGTCCCTTCCGCCAACCCAAAGGGCTTGTAAAGTCAACTTCTGTATTCCACCTCTGCGAGAGGCGTAGCGCTTCAGTCGACAACCACGCGTCAGTATGGGGATAGTGTAGACACTGTTGTATACAAGTCATTATGAGCAGTTTCTCATGCCCCAGTTACAGAACAGACCTTCCCATTGCATTAGATTAAATACATTCTGTCACATGGTCCAGTCCCTGAGGCCCTAGCTACAAGGGTAGGTGCTTACTACTGTGACTAAGCCCACTGAACCTACCCTAGTCTGCTGAGTATGAAGCATACCCAAGGTCTGCTGGTTTCATTCAGGTTTCAGAGTAGCAGCCATGTTAGACTGTATCCCCAAAAAGAAAAGGAGTACTTGTGGCACCTTAGAGACTAACAAATTTATTTGAGCGTAAGCTTTCATGAGCTACAGCTCACTTCATCGGATGAAGTGAGCTGTCGCTCACGAAAGCTTATGCTCAATTGAATTTGTTAGTCTCTAAGGTGTCACAAGTACTCCTTTTTTTTTTGTTGGTTTCATTCAGAAGTTTCTAGTGGGTAACTTTTGACAGTATAGATATTATGGATTTCCAAAAGAGACATTGTGAATTGTTTGTATATTTCAAAGCATACATATACACCT